ATTCCATAAGAGATCATTTCGGTATTATTTGTCGTTTGTGACCACTTGTTTTTGCCACAAGTTATAATATTGTTTTTTGCATTTATTACAAATCTACAACCTCACATGGAGTTGGTGATTGACCTACAATTACTCTTTTACAGAATGTTAAATATTTTTCTGATGTATATGCTGTAATCTTTAATTCGGAATATTCTTCACGAAGTTCAAATTTTGCTCGTAAATATAATATAGAATCATATTTTAAATTATGAAATAGGATTGGAAAAAATTTTTGGAAGACGTTAATGTAAATTTCATACATTACATGCTGCACCTCTTCGTTAGCCAGTAATATGATCATGAACAACAATTTTCTTTAATTCTTCTAAATTTATATTACAAATATGACATGATACAGCATTTGGCAATCAGTTTTACTCATTTCTAAGGTCCATCGTAATTTAATATTTCAATGCAAATAATTATTAGTATAATACTGACTCATTCTTACAACCTGTTCAGTACCTATTCATACAAGCTTGCATTAATTCATAAATATTTTCAGTACGTTTTAAATATTGTATATGATTTCACATTTATAATCATCAGGTAAGACACTAGATGTAAAACAAACTATTAAGTGTATGTTCGTGAATATATTCGGACTTGAAATAAATTTGTGTTGAAATTTCTTTAATGTAATTTCAAAATCGAATGTTACGACATATAGATGATATTGTTCAGCTCGAAAAGAATTATATACTCTTGTAGGATATTTAGGCATTTAAACATTAATTGTTTTTGAATACATACATTAATATGTTTATTTAAATCATCTTCATTTAAAATATAAATCATAATATATAAATTCATATAATATAATAAAATCATAATTGTTATTGCATTTTAAGCAATTATGTATTTTTACTTTCATACGATGAATTTTACCATTTAATAAGTCACTTATTTTTTTATACCTACATAATGACCTACAAACATTAATATATTAACATGATTTTTTAATTTTTTATAATTTTCACTGTAATAATTTAATTTTATACAAGTGTCTTTAATTTGATATACAATAATAGATACTTTCAAAAATTCTTCATATATTTTGATATTCGATGATGTACCTACAGGATATTGCGTGTTTAAAGATTCATATGTTGAAATATCATATTGATTAGGTCTCTCAACATGAGACGGAGAATGTAATATACTCTCTAATGGTTATTCAAAACATCTAAAACCTTCTTTTTCACGTTTGAACTTATTTGTTTTATTATTTTTTACGTTTACGTACAAACTTTTACCTAATCTGGTAATGAAATATAACTACCTACTTTCAATGGATTACATTTATCAGATTGTAAATCAACATGATACTTTTTATCAAATTGATATTTAGTATTTTTTGCATTATTATTATTATTATTATTATTATTATTATTATTATCAAATTTAGATATATTTTCTTCATTCACATCATGAATATTTTCAGATACAGATTGAAGATTATAAATAGTATGTTGCTGAGAAAATGATGTTTAAAATGTTTTATTTGTCCAGATAATTCTAATTTTACATATTGTACTGATGCTACTAATGCGATATCAATATGAGTATTTTTGTTTTTAATAATTATTAATACAACATGTTTCTATTGTTTTTAGTATTTTTTAATCATGATGGTTATTATTTAAACTAAATTTCTAATCATCAATTCTATTATTCCATGCTCCTTTACCTTTATAAAACTTTACCTTTACCTTTATTTCATTTACAGATTTTTATCAGATAAACATATATGATCATGATAATGAAATGTACTTTTATATTGATGTTCGTTTACAAATTCGTGTTTTCTTATTCTTGAACACCCTTTAATATTACTAAGCTTACAGTACTCGTAAAGCTGCATTCGATCAATCACCATTTATATGAAACATTTTATTAAAAATCGGATATTTATCTATCATAGTTAAGTGTATATATATAGTTTTTTAAGTGATATAAAAAACAATTATTTTTTATCTTATAAATGGAGGTGATAAAAACATTCAGTAATGTAGGGTTGGAGTGTCTTAAGCATACATCTAACTTTAAATCACATCAAAAAATTGTTTAGATGGTAAAGAATATAAATTTTTAGTTCAACCTATTCCAACATCGTGTGATAATGATACTGAAGGTGTAAATACTAAACTAGATGATACTGAAGATGTAAATATTCAGGATGACAATATTCAATATAGTCAACAAATATTCAAGATATGTAAAATATTTTAAATTTTTCTATTATTTTTAAAATATCTTTTAATTTTGTAGTTGTAATATTATATAATCGTTTTTACTACAATTTGTATTTAAAAGAGATAAATTAAATTTTTCAGCTTTTACTAAAGTATTTAAAAATTCATTATATTCATAATGTAACATCTCTAAAGAAATAAATTCGACCTGAAAAATCATACCAAAATTCTTCTTCTTACGAGTACATTCATCGAATTCAGCATAATATATATCATTGTAAAATATATATGTTTTACTTGAATTAAAATTTAGTATCGTGTGTATTGGTATTGTGGTTATTATATTGTGGTAAGGCCATTTCTTGAATATGTTTTGGATATCCACTTACTAATTTAAGGCTAGTATAATCGATCATATAATACATATTAATAAAAAATAAGTTGTGGTTGATTAATTTGATGCGTTTTTAAATTTATGACCCGTATCCATTCATCATATAATACAAATAATATATCATAAATAATACAAAATGTTGAATATTAATAAATTTATATAAAGATGGTATGTATTTTGGTGATGGTGGTGTTAATACACATACCATATAAACTTTGAATTGTTAATAATCATTTGTATGTACATATAATAACCCGTGATAATAAGCATACATAATAGCATTTCTGTTATTTGCATGTTAAATTCCTAAGGAATGTCCAATTTCATGAAGTAAAACAGAAAATAAATTATTTTTCCTTGTGGTTTATTTGCATCTCTATGATAATACCAATCATCTAAATCAATATGAATTTCTTATGGAGTAATATTTGCATTAAGAATTTTAGCTTGGGCTAATATACCACCTTTTTCATAAAATTTACGTTAACATATATTTTAATCACGTTGACATTGTGTAACGTATTAGCCAGCGTGCCTCGTGGCATCTATTTGGGGACGCTTGGCAGAGGATTAGCCTCGCCACAGGAAGAAGGGTTTTTCCGTGAAGGGAAGAACTCGGAAACGGGAGACACAAGGCTTTGGGAGTATCCGGCCTATAGAAACTTTTCACTGTTATAACAAGCGAGGGGGTGGCGTGACGTAGTAGGTCACGTGGGCCTCGCCTATATAACAGAGTGTACAGAGCCAGTGGGAGAACCTCGTGCGTGTGCACAAAACTTGGCGCCACGACGGTGCAAATGCGAGCCAGGCTCGCGAGGCTCGAGTCACTAGTTGACGAAGCCTGCGGACTTTAGGTCCTTGGGTGACTGCGGTCACGGGGGAGCGATGCTGTGTGCGTGCTCCGAGGTGAAGAGTGGTTGAGTGCCACGATTCACGCCGATTCTCAATCGGATAAGATCGCTCCTGCGATCGAGGCAAACCAGCCGTTGGTGCGCCAGAACGGACTTTGTGTCCCAGCGTGACATCCGGTCACGGAAGCTAGGCTTTGTGCGCACTTCAAAAGTAGGAGTGGCAAATGCCACAATCAAAACCATCTTCATTCTGGTTTGGATCGCTCCCGCGATCAGGGGATAGTAGGTCTATCAGAGCTACGGTGTAAGTAGATTATTAAGTGTATATATTTGTTTTGTTTTCTTTGTTAATAAATATATTTGTTATATGAAAGCTCTGTGTCTGTGGTCGCTGTGAGTATCCATGACGTTACAATTGATGTACTCCACATTTATTCGATATAATTATATCAGGATGTAATATATCTCTCTCAAAATTTATATTTGTATGAGATGACCATGTTTTAAATACTAATTCTGTTATATCTAATATTTCCTTATTTAGATTACCATTTTATTGTATTCTTAATTTATTTTTGTGAAGATGCTTTAAAATGGGTTTCATGTACACCACATCGTGGTTGACCAATAAATCTAATGTATCAACCTCCATCTAAAGGTAATTGATAATATTCTTGAAATTTAAGAATTGCCCATAATTTGTTATTTTTTGTATCGCTGATTCACTAGTAGCGACTACCATATGAACCATACATGATGTGAATGATAATAGTTTAAATCACATTTATAATATAATAATAATATCTAGACCATATTATTTTCAATAGATCATATTCATTTCTGGACCACATTTTTTGCAATACTTTAGGTTTCTTATATTTGCAATATGGTATTCACGACCTTTTACCAATTCAGTTATTTTCTTGTGCATTTGAACATGACATGTAGCTTGATTCAGTTTTGATATAACGTCCATTTATAATGGGATACGTATTATCCTTCTAAAGTTATTATTATTATTATTATTATTATTATTATTATTATTATTATTATTATTATTATTATTATTATTGGAGGAGGAAAAGCTTTTATGGATACCAGTGAAACTGATGATGTCGGACTCCCAGCTAGGTTACCGACTAAAAACCTAACCTCCGTCTCTTAAACCGTATTCTCTCCGACGCGGAAATCGTCGTTAGACACTACTTCACGCCGGAGATTGACTTGTAGCAGATGCTCTTGTTCCTCAGTCTTAATTCTTTCGTATTCATAATACTAACTATGGAGTTCTCTATTGTTTTCCCACCGCCTTCTCCAGAGCCGCGTTCAACGCGTTAATATTACCAGTATTCAGTTTTTTTAGTACAAGGAGCACATCCGCCTTTCGGGTCCTCCTTACAGGCGGTATCTTCGTACCGTATTCATTAGGATCTACGGCATCCTTCTTCCTGTTTATGATGTCTGCGTATGTTTCAACTTCCCTAGCTGTGACCTTGATAGCTGGGTTGAATTTGTTACTTGACTTATTCTCTTCTTTTTTTGGCTGTTTTTCCTTTTACTTCCTTGCTGCACTTCCCAGCGCTCCTCTTCTTGGCCTCCTAACATCTCAAGATGTTCTATTACCTCTCTCTGATTTTCATGGCTTCCTCCAGGAGTATTCTCCACCGTGATTACTCTATTCTGATTATCTTTCTTGTCCCTTATGTTACTATTACTCCTCTGGTAGACTAGCTGCCGCCCTCTTTTTCCTTTGTAATCGCATAGCATCCAATTGTTCTTCTATTGCCTTGACTTTCTCTTTCATAATTGACAGAGAGCTCAGATTCTCTGAAGACTCCCTTTTCGCTTCTACTACTTCATGTGCCGTATCCTTTAAAGCACAGTCCTTATTCTTGTCGTGCCTTGTAGTCTCGGCATGTACGTCACCCTTTGTCAGGAGGAGCAAACTATCATGTATCCACTCTTGCTCTTCACTGATTTCCTGCCATCTATTCTTTAGTGTTCCCACAACTTGTGTTGTGACCAAGGTTTTCCTATCACAGAATTATTTCTTAATAATTGTTTTCCAATGACAGCTGGATATGCAAACGTTCTATGATCTCTATATTATCCTTCATCAGCTCTTGGATAGCTTCCCATCTTTCGGCGTTCAGTCCACATCATTCCTTTTCCCTCCAGGCATGGGCTCTAATTGAACCGGAGATTTACTTGACGCATTATCTGACGGAGACGCCAAGTGGTCCACGTCTCTGTCATTGCAGGCGTTGGATGACGAGCGCCGGGGGCCTGCTTGCCCACCCCCGACAGCCGGTACTGGGATTCCGATCCACTGCACCGTAACGGTTAATCCTAGGGGACCTTCCATCGCGGGTTCCATTTTCGGGGTCACATTTCACAAGCGTTTTAACGCTACCGCCAGCGTTATCCCAGTAGTGGGGCTGCCACATTTCTACGCCTAGGCCTGCAGGATTTTTTTAGGGTTGACTCCCCTAGGAGTGCTGGCTTCGCCTGCCTAAAGTGTCTCTTCTTCCCTTAAGAGGAAGTTTAAGGTGTCCGATCATTTACCTCCTAAGCCGGTGGGACTCTTGCGTCTTCTTTCGCCCTCGGAGACGTTGGCCTTCCCACGTTGGCAGCTGCCGCTCTTGGAGGTTGTCACTGCTTCCTCTTCTGGAGTACTTTTTAGTCGCATCTCTCTCCTTCGATCTGTCCGGCTAGGGAGGCCTTACCAGTTGCTACGCTACCGCCGGTATAGCTTTCAGTGTCATTGAGATACTCAAGCTCCATCACCAACTACAAGGTCATGTACTCCCCAAGTGGAGATTATTATTATTATTATTATTATTATTATTATTATTATTATTATTATTATTATTATTATTATTACTATCATTATTATTATTACTCACAATCACAAGGAAGACTGTCTTATCAACAAAGAAATGTTGTGCAAAAGGTTATGAAGTTTTCCTTCAAACCATAAATGCCGATAAAAACCGTCAATATGAGTGTTGTCGGAAAATAACAGTCATTGCTAACGACGATATGATCACATAAGAAGTATGGTACCACATTTCCTGACCAAAAAAATGTGCAGGCCGACAAGAAGAAGAGAAAAGCAAAGTCATTTCGCCTAGCCATTGTTGATGCAGTTCATGTATCCGCCCCTTGAAGGCAATTCTGATGAATGCCACTTTCTTATTGGTGATTTGATGTGCGAATTCATGGAGATTACCGATCCGATAGCCGCACAGAATAATCGCGCCTCCTTCAAATGTTTGGAGAAGTCATATTGCCAACAGACAACAAACAGAACATCTCTTGTATATTTTCGAAATGTTGAGTCCAAATATTAATTGGCTTCTAGTATTGAAACAAGAAATATAATATCGCAGATGCATGTGTCGGAGTCTTTAAAACAGCAGCTGACGTATTCACAGGTGTATCAAATAAAGGAATACCTACCGACAAACGATTTCTTAGATAAAGTTGAATCAGCCATGCCTTGCCTTTTGTTTGAGTCAGGGATTTCAAAACTCAAGAACGATGAAATTTATTAATGAAATAAAAAAATGTATTTCGGCACATGCCGTCATATCGGCAGTAAGACTTAGGTAAGACTTTTTTCTCTTCCCTTTTTACAGAGCCCATACAAGAAATTTGGATCAAAATTCCTTATTTATATCTGATTTGTTATTCATCGTACTTTGAAACTTCGTTACTTGAACCGTTTTACGTTCTGTTAAATAAAGAATCAAAACTAACAAATGAAGCATTCTGGTAGTTCATGTTTGACAACGCACATCATAATGTGAACACGTTGATTGGTTTAATAAGATTTTCCATCCCATAGGAGGAATAATGACGATAATTCCCCATTCTGTGATTGAGTTTCTTCTACGACCAAATCCTCGACAGCAATGAGTGCCATTTGCTGATCCCAAATTATATGGACGGTCTTTAGCTGAATCGATTAATGATATCAAAGAAAACTTCGTAATCTTGTGCACCCACTTTGTGTTTAGGACTGTACTTTTTGAGAGTTCATTCAATATTCCATCCATTCAATATCATTCTCTTTCTCACACAGGAAACAATAGGTTTTGAAATTGAAGTATCTATTATGTGATCCAAAGCTCTTTAAAACAGCAGCTCATATCAACAGCTCGTTGATATATCTGGCTGAGACAGTTCACTTTCCTTTCGAGTTGATGCAGAAATTAATTTGTGATTAATATACTTTGCATGACATGTTTTAGCTACAGTCACATGCTCCCACAAGAACAATTTGTGAATTTATTTGCCACAACCACTACACCTTCGTCCAAACTTCCCTCATATATAAAACACATTCCCGACTTACATACCTAAATGTTACTTATTGCGAACCTCCTGTTCAAAAAGGATCGAGAGGGAAACGAGCGATGTAGAAGCGCTATTAGGGGCGATATATAAGGGATATGGCATAGCTGAGATTTAAGATTTCAAAATCTACTGTAAATGATAATAACCAAAACGTCAAATAATAAAAATAATAAATTTCTGTAATTATGAATCCCCGTCGTAATAGTATATTTACCACTAAATGCGGTTTTTCCTTCTTGGAGCATAGACCACCAAGTTGCACATTAGCATTTCTTAAATAATAAAATTATTTAATAATAAGAAGAAATGTTATTAATAATAATGATAATAATAATAATAATAATAAGAAGAAGAAGAAGAAGAAGAAGAAGAAGAAGAAAAATAACGAACATCATTTAATTTTATTGAAATACTTTTGAGGTAAATAAATCGTGTCAGTTGCCAGATCGTATAGGCCTACAGTCCCTCTTACCAGAACATTCAAACGCGAGTTTAACCTCAGTAAGTATTAAAACTTTAGTAATTAATCGCTTTTTTATGATGATCTTGGAAATTTAAAAATAATACTTTACACCATTAGTAATTTTGGACAACTTCAGAATAAAAAGAAAAAATTGTTAAAATTTTAAAATCTCATTGCTCTGTTACTAATTGCTTGACAAAATAATTAATGAAGCAAATTTGTAGAGAATTTTATGACCTTTAAACATGTACATAACTATTTTTGCACTAAGATATCCTGTAAAAAGTTATTACGCAAAAACCAAAAAATGGTAGAAATATTTTGGGTTTTTTGGCTACCAAAACTTGGCCCAATATATTGCGAGGTGGAAAACTTAGGGTTTTCTACTTACAACAATATAAACAAAATAAAAAATAAAATCTTCTACCTCACCGTTTGCGAAGTGGACTCCCTTTTGGCTCCCCATCGACTGCACTAATATAAGAAGCATTATTGTGTTGTGAAAAATAAGTACTATTATTATTAATAAGTTAAACGAAGCTTGCCTTTTATGTTTCGGGATTTGGCTACCCTGGTGTTGCAATCTGGCAACTGACAGCTCTATCGTAAAGTTGCATGTTTTGAGGTCATACGTACTGAGAACGTTTTGACATTCGAGCGCTATTTGTGTTGTTTACAGTAACGGAAAAGATTCATCTTGGCCCAAAAATGGAATTAAATCGTGAACATTTTCGTGCGATTATTTTTTACAACTTTCGACGTGGAGTAACTCAGCAACAGTGCATGGATGAACTTAATTCAATTTTTGGCGATGAAGCTTCTTCAAAGAGCAGTGTTTATCGATGGTATGGTGAATTCAATCGTGGTCATAGTTCACTCCGAGGCGAATTTCGCGAAGGTCGTCCAAAATCAGTTGTTGTTCCGAAATTCATTGATGCTGCGCGTGACCTGATATTGCAAGATCGTTATGTGACCTATCGTGATATTGAGACAACCTTAAGCATTAGTGGGACCAGCATACATTCAATATTGCATGAATATTTGACTGTCAAAAATATTTGTTCGCGTTGGATCCCACACAATTTGTCAATCGCTCAAAAAAAGGCTCGTGTCGATTGGTCGCAAGAAATGCTCAAAAAATATGATCGCGGTGCTTCGAAACACGTCTATGACATCGTGACAGGTGATGAATTGTGGATTTACGCGCATGAGCCCGAAAGTAAACAGCAGTCGACTGTATGGGTGTTTCAAGATGAGCAAAATCCAACAAAAGTTGTTCGCACACGAAGTACTTCCAAACAGATGGTCGCCTCTTTTTTCGGAAAAACTGGACATGTCGCAACCGTACCACTAGAACAACGCAGAACAGTCAATTCTGAGTGCTACCCAACGATTTGTTTGCCAGCTGTCTTCCAAGAAATCAGGAAAACCAACCGCCGAAGACGGATCACTCTTCACCACGACAATACGAGCTCTCACACATCGACTCAAACAACTGCACCCAAAACATTGATTTGATGGGTCATCCGCCGTATATTCCTAACTTGGCACCGAATGACTTCTTTTTATTCCCGTACGTAAAAACCAAACTCAGAGGTCAACGTTTTTCGACACCCGAAGAAGCGATTGCTGCATTCAGAATGCGTGTTTTGGAGATACCTCAAACAGAGAGGCAAAAGTGCTTCGACCATTGGTTCAAACGCATGCAAAAGTGTATAGATCTTAATGGAGAATATTTTGAAAGACAATAAAGTGATTTTCGATAATTAATATTTGTTTTTGTTCTCTAATCCTGAAATATAAAGGCAACCCTCGTATTATTATTTTAAAGGACAGCACCTTTTGAAGATCTTAATTTGGAAACAGGAAGAAAAAGATAAATGGTAATTAAAATATTCACAAAGAAAGATAATATAAATATTTATTAAATTCAATGATTACAAATAATGTTCCACGAAGTTGTCATTTACAAAGAAGTTCTGAGAAGAAAAACTAAGGTAATTCAAACTTTCAAGGTGAGATCACTCGTTTTTTAAAACCGTTTAGTGTGTCCTTTCATTACACAGTTTAAAATATGCTGCCTCCTGTTGGAATGCGGGCCATCAGCTTATTCTCGGATGAAGTGTGATATCCATTTGTTCATAGGATCCAATTTTGTGAACGTGCTCAATCAATGGTCGAAGAACGCGTTTAACAGGGTACTTCTCAGGAATCCTAGTATTAATTCGAGTCCATAAAATATAGTACCTGAAACAGAAATTTCATGTTCGTTACATTGTCTCAATATCTTGGAATCTCAAGAACCTACCGCGAATGCAATAGCACTACTGGCAAGGAAAGTAAGGGCTACTCGCGAGGTTTGTTGGCTTGCATCAGCGTATATGAAAAGACCTCACATTTTTTGTTTTGGATGTAATTACCATTTAAAATATTTGCTTTGAACGATGCAAAATACTTAATTTTTTGTTGATGGTTATGAGGAAAATGACCCTAAACGAGATTTTAACTAAGCGCGCATTTAAACGACGCGAAAACGCTGACGAAGAACTCTCAGCTTTTCCTCCTTTCCTGTAGTATCGCCTGTATCTCACCGTGCTCCAACCGTCTGCCTCTGCGTCTTGAAAATATGGCTATTAGAGTTTGTGTTCATTCACTGAATAGTTTATTTTTCATTTGTGATGAATATGCTCTCATAATTGCAACAAACAAATATAAGGGAGTTACTGAAGAACGTTTATTTCGCATACTTTGGACTGAAAACGGTGGCAAAAACTGGACTCATTAATTGCACACAAAAAGTAAAAATCTTCACTTGCAGTTTAAATGTAAGAACAAACCGTTTCGAATTCTATTATGAGGCAACGAAATCGATATAAGATTATGCAACAAACATAAGGGAGAAATTGCTAATCCCAACCGTGAGTAAATAGTCTACCTATTCCTCTCAGCAATAACATTCTAGTATTAAAACCACCGCCTAGATTACAGGATATTACATTCGATATAAAAGGCTTAATAACAGAATTTGTTGATGAATAATTAATATAATATAATAAAATCTGAGTCAGAGTACACTACGACTCATATTTTGAAGTTAAAGAGAGGCCTTCATGAAATACTTCGATTTTTCAAAAGATGGAGCCGGAGTTGTTGGTATCGAAGCTACAAAATAAGTAAACGCCGTATATATCATTCTCTTGGTATCGTAAGAAAGAATTCTCGCCGCATTTACGTTTATGGGCTCTTGAAGAAATGCGGAATACACTATGTAGATTTTAAAATAATAATAACTACACTTTTAGTGTGAACAATCAGTGGACACAAAATACCTGTTTTCTTTGCTCGAGGGGCAGTCATGTAAGAGTTGTTCAGTGATAAAAGAAAACTGGCCTCTTCGAATGCTCTCAGACCAGGCGAACAAATGACAATGAAAGCTTGATGCCCCCTGACATGTTCTCCTATACCTCTTCACATTAAGCTGGAGCTGATGAAACAATTCGTGAAATCCCTCACAAATGGCGGATTCAGATTTGTGTTTTAAATTGCAAAAACTTTCAGCAGACAAATTTAAAGAGGGAATTTTAGTGAGACCTAATATCCGTGAACTCTAGTCAGAAGAATTCTTCACTCAAACGTTGAATGAAGTTGAAAAATAATATTTGAAATCGTTGAAGCAGGTCATTAATAGATTACTAGTTAACAACAAAGACTGCGACTACAAAATCACTGTGAAACGTGCTTACAGCATGCAACGCTCAAAGATAAAAATTAGCTTGAAAGTCCATTTCTTATATTCCCATGTCTACTACTCACAAAACCTGGGAGACTTCAGTGAAGAGGACGGGAAGAGATTCCACCAGGATATTAATATATACCATATTGAGAGACGTTATTCAGAAAATGATATAGATTTAGATTTATTTAGTCAAAAAACAGTAAAAACGTTATGTGACGTATGGGGGAGAAGAACAAAGAGAGTCATCACCATTGAGAAGTCTATGGTGAGGACTGCTGATGTTTGATGACTATGATGGGGGACTGCTTTCAGCGCAGCCAAAAACATATCAGTTGAATCATCGAATACAGTTTTGTGATTTTTTCAGAACTGTATAATGAGAAATAACAGTTTTCATAAAAGTAAATAAATAATACTCAGTCTTCAAATTTGTAATCAAACTAGTTCATCATATTTTTTTTAAACACCACAGTGTGACTAATGAGAAAACTCACTGTGATATGAGGTAATGAGATATCTGCTTGAATCATATTATGATAGAAGACATTTTTAGTCCAATATATAACTATGTATGTATGTATTGCAACCACCCGGTTAATCGAATCGGAAATAGTGCTACCAGAAGCAACCACCACCCTCTCTTCAGTTTTTAAAACCAAACGCCCCGGATAGCCCATAGGGTGGTGCATCAATCACCAACACACTCCTGATCTGAGAGCTGGTGATTGTATATAAAAATCTATTTAGTTGGACAAACCGCAAACCGCACGGGTTTTTGATTAATTTCTACATTCTAATAAAAATCTTTCACCTTAGCCATAGCTCCATTTTGGCATATTCGCAATGCTACCGAGAAAAAAAGACATATTTTCAGACATTTTTGTGAAGGTGATACTAAGACTGCAAAATACGTAACTCTAATCAACAGCATTCAGTAGAAGAAATACATCTCAAACCAAATTTTACAAATTAAATTTTATATCTTACAGATAAAATATCGCACCCCGACACCAAAAGCGTCAAAAATAAATAATTCAGCTTTTAAGAAATAACGTCAAAAATAAGGCTGGCGAAACTGCCTTCTCACGGATCTGTTGCGAGTTAGATATCTGACATTTTTTGTACTCATGGGGGTACACCTTATGTGTCTGCCATATACTTACAATTGTCTTTTTTGAGTTGCCAATGTTCTCGTCGGGGTGCGATATTCTGATTTATGATTAATCGCCATGTAATCAAGAAACTATGACGTTGTCAAGTTTTTGTCAACTTCACAACCATAACTATGTTTAAAGTATTTTCCAAGTATATTACTGACTTCAAAAATTTAGTAATATTTACCTGAACTCTTCTTGATAACGTTCTTTAACATAGTTTTGCACTTCAGGTACATTTTCCATAAGACACTTTATCACAAAGAAATGGTGATAAACAAGTACACAATCTTCAGGCTTTAGTGTTCTTTGTTCAACCGGGTAAAGTAATCCTAGTAATTGTGTAATACTTCTTTTGAGGTAGTTTGCCTGAAATTATAACAATAATTATATCATATAATTATAGTTTATTTTAGAAATGAAATTATTTGAAAATGAAAGGTTTATTTTTTCAATCCAAAATATGTAAAATAGAAAAAATATATTAACTATGATTCCCATTTGTTTACTGCATGTTTATGGCATGTGATGATTCGGGAGAAGTTAAACTACATCTACTGTTTTATAATTTAATGATTTGTTGCCTGACAGCTTTAACAGAGCCACTTTAATTTGGGCGTAATTATTACTACTGTGTTTATTAGCGTGTCACACGTGTTGGACCACTAATACTTTATTTTGGGATGGATAAGGTATAAATTGGTGTAGTATATTGAGTAGAGTTTCATATTTTTCTGAAATTGTTGAGTTTTTGTGTATATTAATCTATAAGAAAGTATGATACCTGATTTTCTTTGTACAAGCCTGCTTTTTGGAAAGCACGGGCTGGAACAGCTTTTTCCACCTAGAAACTTTATTAGCCTTTAGTTTTGGATGCATTTTCGTAGACTTCTAATTAGGCGAAGTTCTATTTTCCAAGTGGGCTCTGTTAAGATAGTAATAGTCCAAAGCTAACAATACCACTATTTTGAGAAATACACAAGAGTATAAAATTCAAGAATATAGCGCATAATTCGCCTAATATTTGTATTTAATTTTATGTTTTGGCTCAGTTTGATTTTTGGTCGTGTCTAACTTTAAATGGATTTCATGGATTTATTATTAATCCATTCGAATATTATTACAAAGCTTTCAATATCAGGTCAAGGTCATATTTACTCATAAAATCAATATTACTTTCTAAAATATACCTTTAAATTGATACATACGTTTAATAACATAGTTGACGTAGTTACTAATATTGAATGTGTATTGCACGTGTGTGAGGCAAGGCGTGGCATTTTTGTGTTATCATTGCTAGATAGTCTAGGGTCCTTGTGTATCTTTCTTTAGTGCCGGGGAAAGGATGGTCAATATCATACAGTGTTCTCTTTTCTAAGAGCTTAAAACCACGCTCATTATCTTCGTTTACACTTTCTCACCTTATATCGTAAGGAAAGAAAGTATTGTAATCGTGCGCCAGAAACGAATTTTCGACATAAAAACGTTTTATAGCCGGCCCTGGTATCGAAAAAGTGGATAAAGTGTGTTACAATATATTGTAAATTACTTCCTCTAACACTTGTGTTGTCAGAAGCCATGTTTTGTGGCTCCTTGATACTGAAAAACCGGTTGACGGCAAGACGTCGGTATCTGTCTGTCCATCTGTCTGTGGTCAACACTAGCACCAAAAGTGTTCCGCTAACTGTCTCCCAAATTGATATTCCTCTATCGATTTAAAACACTCGAGTTTCTCTGGGTTTGAAACGGATATTTTTATTTTGGGAATTACTTTACATCAAGCCTCTATATTTCCGAATTTGTTTCTAATGGGGTCAAATGTTTTGATTTATTTGGTCTCTAATTGCGGAAACTTTCTAAGAACATTTAAGGAGAGCGTAGCTTCCGCGCTCATACAAACATTTAAGGAGCGTAAAGAACGTTTACAAGAATGGATCAGGCCTCATTTTCGTTGAAATCTCTAATTTTTCAAAATTTGCAAAAACTGGAATCTCTTTCGGCGTCTTCCTACAAAAACAGTAATGAAGAAATAGATTTTTTACTTAAAATCGCTTGATGAAAACAGGCCTTAAAATAAGGACATTTACAAATTTTCGGAGATGTGAGTAGCTTTTGCGTAATTTTGTGTGAAATATAGACAATTTTTAAAGAATTATTTTTTCAAAATGGCTCCAATTTTTTCTTTAAATTTTCTCCTCGTATATATCTAATAACGGTAAAAAATGGCGCTACTCTCACTTCCGGTGAACTCTCTGTATCTTCGAAAATGGCATAAAGTTAATATTCCAAAACTGTAATGATTGAAGATAGAAATTTATTAAACAAAATGTGAACTAAAAAACATATCTTTAAAGAAAATCAAGTGCAATTTTGTGAGAGAGAAAAACAAGTATTTTGCGTGTAATTTCTATTTGAAGTTAATGCAATTTATAAAAAAATCCTGAAAACCGCTTCATATTTTTTTATTTCATGCTTTTTCACATAAAAAATAATGTCGCAGAACTCATTTTCGCTGAACAATGAATTTTCAAAAATTACGAGTAAGAAATAATGCGAGTAAATTACGAGTAAGAAAGTATTTGTTGTTGTAGCATCGCTTGTTCTAGTTGAGGCAACGAAGTGCCTATACAAAATTTTGTTGGGATCGGAGCATTCTAACTCGTGCCGACTAGACCGCGAACTCGCATGATGGACAAGTCCATACCTTTCAATATCTCTGAGTCAGGCTCGAGCTTAAGAGTACATGAATTTTAACCAATCGTGTCACACGTGTTTTCAGGTCACTAATCTAGCATAATTTCGTATGTTCGTGTCGTATGCTGTGCCGAAGTGCGCGTGTTTTTAAAAGGAGGTAATATTAATTATTCATAGACCCATGGGAAGTAAAATTAACAGTGAATAACTTGAGTATATGTAAATATATTTTTAAGTATCACAAGAGGAGTTTAGAAATAATTTGAACAATATATTTGATATTCCACATTTTAATGCTTAACAAATGATTACGTTGGAAGAGGACAGGATGTTTTTACTTCGGCAGAGAGAGCTAGGACGTAAATTATATTGTAGGACTAGAGCAAAATCTTCTGGATAAAGAAGAAAGGGACAGACAAAGAACATGACAAGAAGAGAAAAAGAAAGAGTAACAGTGTGCAGCGTCTACGTATTTTGCTGTACCTCCTTCATTTCTGAAGATTCAGAAAACGAACTTCCAAGTTGAGATGAAATCAAAATCAACGTGAGTGAATTTTTAGGGGGACTTCCCAGAATACATCAATACAGAATGCTGCAAGGGGTGGCACCAAAATTATCATTATTTCTTAACTAATGGCAGCATTAGATAGATGCCAGTTGAGTATTAGAGATTCCGAATACATTCTTCAAGCGACAGTTGATGCACTTGGCCACAATACCCGAAGAACTCCTATTAATAAATCTTGTATTCTTCGAAACAGACAAGAAGAGAACGTTAAGAAACAATAAAATCTGCTTTTAACAAGAGGCAATCTGCTTAATCAAGTAACTACTTCATCTTTCCGGGGTGATACATCGAATTCCATGGATAGCAAAATCTATTTAATGTTTAAAAATGTTTCTGCTAAGAACAGAACCTAAACTATCTCGTGTAATTAAAAATTACTTAAAAATATCACTCTGTTGATTGCAACTACGTCATACCCTGTTTTAATGCAGTGCAGCTATAAAACCTCGTCATCAAGACATCTGCTTTTTAAAAGTTCTAAAATCGCATGAAAAGATAGATATCACAATTCCATAAGCAGCTTTAAGAAATGTTTATGAAACAAATGAAAACTTTTTGCGAAGAAGTGGATGGAGAATAATGTGTTAAGCTACTGTATATCCGTAACCTTTCTTTAATAATTAATTATTTAATATACAATACATATTCTAATTCAATTTAACCTTCATTTCAATGAAAAAATAGCCGAATTTGTGTCAATCAAAAGCAGATATCTATTCTCTTGCCTGAAGATAGATACTAGTTTTAAATAAGGAAAGTCCTTCGATATGGACAAGCAAATCTTCATGTTTATAAATTCAAATACTATTTATAAAGTTGAAAGCTGTGAATGACTGCGCTGAAAAACTCGTTGAAATAATGTACGATTTTCATGGATTCCTGAATATAGTTGAGGAGTGAAAGCAATTTCTGTTGTGTTGTTGTAGAACATCTTTCACTGTACTCATATTGCAAGAAAGATGCACTGAAAAACAAATAACCCACAAGAAAAGTTAAAACCATAACATAGTCTAAAGAGTGAAAATGAATTAAATTGTAATATAAAATTATATATTAAACATATATCAGTAGCTTTCCACTGACTTTAACACAACAAAACCAATGATCCCTAACTTTAAAATTTCGCGCTCAAGTCGGCACGGGTTAATATCAGCCTATTGAGATGAAATTTTATTTTTGAGTAAATATGACCCAATAGAAAATATTTAGGGGTTGAGCCCCAAAAACATTGCAGTATAAAGGACGCCCTAGTGTACATTTTTAAAATAATTTTAATCCCTTTCCGACAACACAAAATGTAGTACATGGTTCTATTTTAAAAAGTCAAAACTGACGCTATGCCTCTGTAATAAAAAGGGAGTAAACTCGAAATAAGTATCTAGGTAACCTCGGTCCATTGTGCAAACGGCAGCATCGTATCTTTCAATACTCATGTTTTGACTCATCATATTTAATATATGCTATTAATGACTACCAGCCTTAATCAATGCGCATTAAATGTTAGCCAGTTTATGCTGGTTCTAATATAGTGGAGAAAAGGATAGATGAAGGGAAAGCACAGCAGAAATATAAAAACTGATATTCTACATTTTGTTAATATCTACAAATTTCGGTTTTGTAAAAGACAGTTAAAACTACATTAATTTATTTTAATGAAATTCGATACGCTATCAAAATAAAGCTAATCAAAAAATATGAGTTAGGTTCAACTAAGAAAATTATTTCCTTCCACTGCCCAAAATAATGACCACCCATCACTACCACTCATTATTACATCCCATCAAACCCCTAGTGCAATGGCTGATATTCCTCAACGAAATCAAATGACCCACCAATATGTCGATGCATGAAAGTGAGAGTAAAGATACAGACATGGCATGTCTCCAACAGATCCAGAAATGGGAGGTAAATTCATCTGATGTGATAAAAATACCAGAGGCTCATTGCCATACAGACATTAACATCAATGCGATCATTAATGTGGGTCATTCCACGTTAAATCGCACAACTTTAAGGAATATTTGACCTCGATGACCCAGATTGTAAACTTTTTTTCTGTGAAGAGAATAAGAAAAATATGAAACACATGTTTGTCATTTTTTTCTTC